GCTGCACGGCCCGGAGCCCCCCGCCCTCCTCGGTTCCCCCGCCGAGCTCGGAGCCCCCCACCCCTCTGTCGGTGCCCACCCGCCCCGGCTCGGGCCCCTGGTGCGGCTCCTGGGGAGGGGTCCGCGTGCTGCCGGGACCCCCGTCCCGCTCCGGGCCGCTGGGCTCGCCGCTGGCCATCGAGTGCCGCTTCGAGCCGGCGCACGCCGAGGTCACCTGGCTGCAGGTGTGTCCCCGGCGCTACCTGGGCGACACGTGGGGCTGCAGCTGGCCGCAGGAGGTGGCGGCCGAGGGCGGGGGTCGCCAGGTGAGCCGCAACGAGTCGGGGGTCTCCCGGCTGAGCTTCCCGCAGCTGCGGCGCGACCACGGCGGGCTCTACTTCTGCCGGGTGCAGCTGGGCCCGGCGGCCGCGCAGTCCTGCGGCACGTTCGTGCGGGTGCTGGGTGAGTGGGGGTCCCGGGGGGTCCCGGGGGGGTCTCCCCGGGGGTCTCTGAGCCGCCCGGTCCCGCAGAGCCGGTGCCGGTGCCGCTGCTGGATGTGGGAGACGCCGCCAAGAACAGGATCCTGGCGGCGCAGGGCGCGCTGCTGCTGCTCTGCGCCGCGGGGCCGGGGCTGCTGCTGCTCTTCAGGGTGAGGAGGGGGCGCCGCGGGACCCCCGCCCGCGTCGGGGGCTGGGCTGGGGGGTGACGGCCCCCGGGTCCTGCTGGCACCCGGGAATCCCCGCAGAGACCCCCGGGGGTCCCCTCAGAGACCCCCGGGAATCCCCCCAGAGACCCCCATCCCCCCTCTCCCAGAAGCGCTGGGCCAACGAGCGGCTCCTCCAGCCCAAGAAAATCTCCCTGGAGGAGGAAAACCTTTACGAGGTGACCCCAAAAAACAAAAAAAAAGAGGCTGGGTGGGCACTGTGTGTGTGGGGGGGCGTCCATCACCCCCTGACTCAAGCCCCCCACCCCAATTTCCGCAGGGGCTGAACCTGGACGAGTGCTCCATGTACGAGGACATTTCCCGGGGGCTGCAGCCCACCTACCAGGACGTGGGGACCCCCCCTGCCGCCGAAGGGCTCCTGGAGAAGCCTTGAAGACCCCCCCTCCAAATAAGTGGGGGGGGGGTCTCTCACGGGACCCCCTCCCCAAAACCCTGCGTGCCCCCCCCAGAGGCTTTGCTTTGGTAACTCAAGGCTGACGGCGAAATAAAACGAAAATAAATCTGGTGAGGGTCTGGGTACTGGGGGACCCCCCCTCACCTGCAGCTGGCAAATCGCTAATAAAGAATTAATTCATCTTTAATAAGCTGTGGATAAATAATGACGATGACACCGCTGTTTGCCCCCATTTTCCTTAAAATTCCCCCCATTTTATCCCATTATCCCCGGTTTCCCCCATTATCCAAAATTCCCTGCGTTTTATCCTGTTCCCCCCGCCCCCAATTCTCCCAATTTTTTCCCATTATCCCCATTTTACCCCATTCGCTCCCCTTTCTCCACAATTTCTCCTACTTTCTGCCAGATTTTCTCCCAGTTTTCCCTCATTACTCCACATTTTAGCCCACTACGTCCCATTTTCCCCCTCACTATCCCCCGGTTTCCCCCCATTATTCCCCATTCTCCTCCCATTTTACCCCACTGTGGCCATTTCCCCACAATTCTCCCCCCATTACTCCAAGTCTCCCTCACTGCACCCCGTTTCTCCCCTTTCGCATCCATTTTCCTGCCTAATTTCCCCTTTTTCCCTCATTTCCACACGTTATTCCCAACTTCCCTCAGACTCTCCCCTCCTTCCCCTCACGGAGGCCCCGCCCCTCCCTCGCGGCACCGCCTTTTCCCGCCTCCGCGCCCTCAGCCAATCAGCGGCCGAGCGCTGGGGCCCCGCGGGCCAATCAAAGCCAAGCGCGGGAGAATTCAAGCGACCCCAGGCGCCCAACGGCCGCCGGCGCTGGCTCCGCCCACCGGCCCGTGAGGGGGCGCGGCCTCGGGGCAGGTGGGGAAATTGGGGAGAAATTGGATGGAAAACGGGGGAAATTGGCGAGGATTGCGAGTCCTGAAGGGGAATACGGCTCCTAGAAAGGAATGGGGGGGCTCTGGGGGGGAGATCTGAAGGGAAAATGGGGGTTGGAGTGGGGCCTGAGGGCCCTTCAGGGGGGCCTGGGGG